TCTAAGTGACCAGCTCTGGAACTGGAATATAGTAATTTGATAGGAAATAATATTTATGGTTGTTTAAATTTGTTTTTATTCTGTCTGTTAGGTAGGGGGAGTATTCTTGAAGACACGTGTCAAGTATGTTTGTAAATACTGTAAAACTAGTGACAGTTACTTTTTAAATTCTGGTACATAGTTGATTTTATTGTCATGGCAGTTTACTTCATCTTAAGCTTTTTGCTTAGTTTATACTGTTGTTTTCTAGGCAATGTAAAGAAACAAATTTCTAAGAAAAAAACTTCAGATAAAAAAGGAAGACATCAGAGAGAGTGTCCTCAGCATTCTCCTCTTGAAGATATTAAGCAGCGGAAAGTATTAGACCTCAGACGATGGTAGTGTTGTTATGACAGTTTTTTATTTTTTTATTTTAAAAATATAGATAGAGTATCTGTTTTGGCAATAATTTTGCTGTTTAACAATAATACATAATAAATATTTTAGTTCTAAAATTGTTTCCAGGATTTCTAAATATTCAAAGCATACCCCAAATGGTTGAAGTAGATTAATGTATATTGAGCTATGTTACTGTTTCCCAGACTTTCCTAATCACAAGAATCATATGTTATTCCACATAACTGTGTTCTGCATTTAACGTTTGTAAAAAGTTTGATATTGTTGTATATCTATTTTTTTTTTTTTGGCTGAAGAATTTTAAAGTAAGTTACAGATGTTGCATTTACCTCAAATAACCTAAGAATGCATCTCTAAAAAAACATGACTTTGTAAAATGTTTAGTCACAATGCTATTGTCATACCTAATAGAATGAACACTATTTCCTTCATATCTAATTTCCAGGCTATATTCAGATTTCCCAGATCGTACTAAAAACATCTTCACGCTTGGTTGTTCAAAGTGGGACCCAGCCATGGGCCGTACATTGTATTGGTTGTAATCCTCAAATCTGTGAATCTAGAACAGCTCCCATCACTTCCCAACCCCCTACTATTTTATTTTGTTTTGTTTTCAAGAGATTGACTTATTGAAGAGATTTGGGCTGATGTCTTGTAGAACGTCCTACCCTCTGGATTTGTCCGATTTTTTTCCT